TCTCCACTTAAATTATTTTTTAATTTGATACTAGAAGACATTAAAAAAAAAAGACAAGTTCTTCCAGATTAAAATACTTCAGACATGTCTGAACTTTCAGCCCTTGATGTATTCAAGAATTTTTCTGTTTTCAAATAAGCAACGAACTCAAACCCTCAGAGATACTGACAGTTTTAATGTAAAAAAGTTCTATTTTCTTTGCTAAAAACTGGGAACTGAAGTATACTGCATGTTTACCAGATTCTGCATTTAAGATCTCCAGACATACTGTATATACTCAGGATATACACTGAGTCCTCATTTTTGTTCCTTCTAGAGACATTTCCTTCACACTTTATTTTCTGTGATAAATACTGATAAAGTGCTGTCTTATTTTGGATTTCTATTTTGACTACAGTTTGAAAAGTTAATTAGACTCTATCCCAGTGTAAGGAAGAATAGGAAACCCTATCAAGGATGCCAAGAAGATATCCATTTCTTACCCTCCCTTAAAGCAGGAGAATCATCCAGACAAATGAAAACTGACATCCGTGAATTTGACTCCTGATAGAATGCAACTTTGGAGTAAGAGGAATTGTGGGTTTTTCCTCATCCTCTGTTTATCCGCATTTTTACTTTAGGAAAGTGGTTGTAGGTTGGCCTTTGTGTAGGTGTTCTCACAGATGGGAACTCCACCTCCTTCCAGTGGCTGACAGTTCTGGTTCTACCTACAGGCTCCAAGCAAACTGAAGATGCAGTTTGCTTGAAGCTCGAACCTTCTCATTGAAGCAAAGCAAAAAGTCAAGTAAGCTTGCATACTGCTTTCCTTCTTGATTTTGAGACTGTCCCAGGAATTTATGCTCTGCCACCCTACTTTTCAGGAGTGGTTATCTTTTCCCCTTATTAGAGTTTGTGGCTGTCTACTTCATTTATAAATAAACTAGAAATCTGTTTCATGCTATGGAGTGGACACCACTTGCACTATACAATACCATCGTTATTCAACATTGAAATTCTGCTCATCTTTTTGCTATGTAGGTTGCGTTTCTTGGTTTTGCAAAATGGTAAATGTAATTGATTAATAAAGACAGAATATGATATTCCTGTACTAAGAGCTGGTAGGACAAATGAATAAAATAAAGGCTCTGCTGGATAAAAACAAGTCCATTCCAGTACTCTGTCTCTGACAGTGGCCAATAGCCCTTCCTTTGCGAAGCATGTCTCATCATGGCTAGGCTTTGCAAACGAAGATTTAGGGACGCTCTACCCACATTTGTTACAAACACACTGATGGCTAAAAAGGCCAATACAAGATAGACACGTCCGACTGCAAAAGGCACAGCAGAAGGACTCCTTAGGTGGTAAATTCTGCAAGACACAATTCTTTCTGCGTTGTAAAGCATGTAAAAACAAAACAAACAAACAAACAAACAAAATATTATACATTCCAGAGTCCCACCACACACCACCTGGTGAGTTTTGCTGTGAGATGTCCTGGTGCGAACAGTTATGTTAGGTAGTCTTTAATGTACTTTCTTTCCCCAAGATTTATTCTCGCATAGAAATGTTATCATTTCAATGAGTACCACATACCGCGAATTCAGCGGTATGTTCTTCTTGGGGCTAATCTTCAAGCATATTCAATCACCTTTTGTGAAATGCAGAAAATCCCTGGTTCACATTTTCCTTTTGGAGAATGAACTGAATCCACTGGATATTTATAGCCTAAGCCAACCTTGTGAAGGCCATGGATCAAGTCCAAACTTACTGAGTTTTTTAACTCATTAAAAATTTTAGTAGTCATAATGGTAATTTGATTGAAGTTCTTTAGCATTTTCCAAGCTTTTAATGACCTCAAGTCAACTCTGAAAGGAACGTGCATGAATAATGTGGGCTTAATACCATGTTCTAGAAAACTGGACTATCTGGTTCCTGTTTAAAACAATAGGTGGATGCCAATCTGACTTGCTGCCTCATATCTTGACAAAATCAATGTGAGTGAATAATGTATCTACTTTTTTGTCCTCTTAAGTGGAATGAGATTTTTTTTTTTTTTTTACGAAGTATATTGATTGGGACTGATGTTTTGGGGTTTTTTTGAGTGGGGTCGGGTTGGATTGTTTTTTTTAAGAACAAGCTTTTTTTTCAGTAAAAGTTTTGTTCATAAAAGTTTCTCAAGTCTAAGTTGAAACTGCTGATAATGAGGACCAGACAGAGTGAGATGGAGGGAACCTCCTGGTAACTCACAGCTCAAAGAATGGGACACTCATTTAGAAAGTGATATAAGTAGATTCACAGTCCTGACCTGGTTAAGACATGAGTTTGAGACTCACCACAGTGGAGTGCGCTTACCAGCAGCCTCTTCGTTCTTCTTGGGCTGCCCGTTCTTTCTATAACTGAGAGAGAGCTCAGTTATTAGACAGTGAGAAAACCTGGTTCAAAGCCTCACCTGATGTGACAAGGTGAACCTGCAGTTGGATCTCTCCAACCTGGGTGAACAGTCTGGGCATCAAAACATTCTGGAATGAGGGTCTCTATTGTATTTTGTCTTTACTGTGAATGTAAATAAAGGATGTATATTTTGGAAATGCTCTAAGGGACACTTGAATAAATCTAAACTGATTCTTTAAGTATCATACTGGAAATAGTTTTTTATTGGGATTGTTAAAGAAATGGAAAGAGAAATCACTGAAAAATATGCTTAAAAATTAGTAGCATTAGCTTAAATATTTATAATAAAACCAAGAAACCTTTGAAACAAGTTGTCAAAAGATATAGTAGCAACAATTCAGAGTTAAAACTCTATTATTTTTTTAAAATGTTGCTGTACAACTTCAGGGGAAAAAATAATGTGCTGCAAAATCTTAGGTATATGCATAATTTTTTAAATACTCTTAGTTCTTGCCTGGTTATAATTATTCATGTACATGGGAAATTGTAAGGTGATGAATTTCAATATGTACAGTAAAAATAACTTTTAACTACATGCATATGGCAAGGAAGGACTGTTGCTAATCTTTTTGTAACAGCTTAAATGATCATAATTCTTGCTTTTGTTGATAGCTTTTTCCTGCTTAACTGTTGAAAACATTTTCATACGGTATGGTGACCTTTCTCCAGGTTTACAGAATATTGTTTTCTTGTTTCAAGAGGGAAAATTTACATTAACTTTCATATATAGTAATTGACATTTATAGTCCATGTGGGATTGATTACTTTACCACATGAGAAAGCTGCAGCCTTAAAATATACAGAATATGAGACAATATCATCATGTTCCAACACATTATTTCCTCTGTACTATTAAACGGTCCACTGCTGGTCAGTTTCAATATTCTTGATACCTGAAGTTTTTACTATGAGAACATACATTATGTCTTAATGCACAGTCATTTCTGAATGTCCATCAACATTGTATGTATTGCTGTGTTGTTGTTTCACCTGTGTAAGTCTCACTGTGAAATTTTACCTGAAACTCTAGCAAAGACATTGACAGTAAAAGTACTATGAAAAATGAATTTTAAAGGTTTGTAATTTTGGTCTGAACAAGTATATGACATTTATGACAAATTCTGAGCTGCTTTTCCCAACCAAAATTATGTTTGAAATTAGCCAGATTATTTTTCTGGAAAACAAGAAAAGTTGAATTGGGATTTTTTGCAATATTTTGGCTCTTAGCATTGCACAAACTTTTGTTATTTCCAGAAGCATGAAAGTAAAGCTGTATAGCATGCATCAAAAATTGTAAAATCAAAACAAGAATACTTTTTTTTTTTTTAATTTTTAATGTGAGAACCTCCATTAGCATTACCTTAAAAGTTTTAATTTCCTTTATTATAAAAATTATGGCAATTCAGCTCACAACTTTTAGGTCAAAACTATACCTTAAATTCTGTTACAGTTTGAGGACAAAACCTGAAACAGACTTTAGCTGTGATTCTCAGGAGGAACATTCTTTAAGCAGTGAACGGAGCACCAGCCTCAATGAAGCATAAGATTTCCCCCATCTGTTCTCTGACTGTATATGCATTTCCCTTGTGAGCGTGTGTGTGTGTCCCAGTCTCCTTCCACCCCCAAAATTCTGACATTAAAATTGAAGTAGCCTTCATCTTAACAACAACTTCTAGCAATAACCAGTTTTATTTGTTCTTTGAAAATTGAAAGTAATCAGATAACAAAATTATAGAAAATAGTTAACTGAAGTTTCACATTGTCATGTTAGAAACACAAATATTTGAAATGTGATGACAGAGAAGGTCACAGCCACACTATTAAATACAGCACCATCGAAGGCAGAGTGAGAAAGACACTTGCTGCAGGATGCCCTCTAAGTGGGTGCAGCATAGAAGGAGGTGTCTTCAGGCCCTATCAGATACTACCCTTGCACTTCCTGCTAGCTGGGAGAAGCTGGACCCTCACAGTGTTTGGAAACCTGGTGGAGAGAAAGTGTTGGAAGAGTCCACAGAGGAAAAGGGTACTAAAATATCTCAGCACTGCCAATATGCCATTCATCCTTACTTAAGACAGCTGTAAAACTGACTGATGGGCTGCCTGAATAATATTTCTGTACAACTGTTTGTTCTTTACTTGTCATAAACTTTATTAAATCCTAAAGCTTTGATCTTGGACATGATTTTTCTTCCATTAACTTCAAAAATATCTCAGAAAGATTAGTAAGCATTGTTATCTTTTATACACAAAAAAATCACATACCAATTTTAAGGATGAACAGGTTCTGTTTAGGGTGAGAGAGAGAGAGGTGAGGAAGTTGCTTTTTGCAGTTACCAGAAAGTTGTTACTCCCCACCTGCAGGTGACCATTAGCATGGGAAGCAAAGGATCACTTACTCTTTTTTCTGAGTTAACTTTAAATCTGTCTTGGAGCAAAGAAACACACTACGCTACGTAATTAAATGAATTCCAAGTCACTGAAAACATATGTTACAAAGGTGCTAAACATGACTGCAAAAAAAGCTTCATCTGAGTTATATTTCTGGTTAGTCATGGTGGTAGGTTACTTACAACTGTAAGTATAAACATACATGATCAATTAAATATATATCTCTCACATTTGATATTTTCATATTGAGTATGCAAATGTTAAAGTTTAATAGACAATTAAAAGATGCATTTTAGATCTTGACTTCTAACTGCTTATTCTTTAAGAATTGGTAGAGTTAACAATGCTAATGTAATTTAATTTTATTTGCACAGTTATTGGAGAACCACTTTGCCATACTTAATTTCATTTCATGGAGAAATCTTGTTTACAATGGTCTCGATTTTTTCTTTCTTCTTTTTTTTGTTTTTAATAAAAAAAAAGCCATGATCCTTCTGGGACTCTGTGAAGTATACCTCCTCTTCTATTTTTATATGATCTTCAGGGAGCTTTAACCTCTACTACATATCACTGTCAGTTTTATATAAATACGTCTATTTTGATAACTTCAACATGTCATAATCTTTTAGAGAGAGAGACAGGAAAAGCAGCATGATCAGTATTATATGATATTCATTACATATCACTGATGTACATTTAACCTTTTTATTCCAGGGCATTATTCAAATAAGTCTGTGCCAGTTCTAGGAAACCTTTGCCTTCTGAGATATTTTGTTTTAATTATTCAAGACAACATTGCAATTCTACCAGTGAAATGTTTAATTTCTTCTCTCTCTCTCTCTCTCCCTCTTTTTTTTTTTTTTTTTTTTGTTATTGCACCCTATCTAACAGATGGTAGCTTGGATAAAAGTGGGTAAAATTGTTATTGATCAGATGTGCACTGGATTTCCTGAGTTTGCCGTTACATATTTCTAAAATTCCTGAGGCTAAAGAACTAAGAGGTAGGACAATTGCTCAAAAATAGCAAATGAGCCTTTCTGAAATGAAGCATTGAGTGAATACTAAAATTATATGTTTGTGAGTTGTTCATAAATCAAGATTTCTAATAGGATAAAATGAGTTTGTGGTAGATTCTGATTTGACATAATTAGTACTGATCCAGTGTCTGGATTTCTCTTTACTAAAAACACATTAAGATATGTGTATGTGTATTCCATTAGACACTAAAGATTCTACATTTATAAACAAGTACCCTGCTTTCTGTTGTTTTAAAGACATTACATTAATTTAATTTACTTGAAATCTTACATTTCTTCTGACTTAAGTACAGGGATTGGTCCTAAGAGCTCAAAGGAACCAAAAAAAAAAAAAGGAAAGAAGAGTATCTCAGTTAATATATCTCTTTTTCAGTGTTCAGATTCTTCTTCCAAAGAGTTAATGAAGCTACACACATCCTTTAACCCTGCTGAGAGTCACTGATCTGACCTGGCTAACCTGCAAGTTCACACAAAGGAGATAGCTGGACAACAGCTGTTTTATTAACAGCAGAGGTATTTACCTTTTATAATGTTTCCTATCTGTGTAATTTTGTATTTTTACCTGTTAGCTCCTGGTAGTATAAAATAAAAAGTTATAATTTTCTTACTATTTCCCTGTCAAACTTTTTCTGTTCTTCTAGAAATCCTCTACTCCTGTCCTTTTAAAGAATCTATTACTCTACTGCTATTGGGCTAAGCATGCTATTACTTCTTATATTGATTATTTTATTCCTATATAGAGTATAATATTGGAACGAAAAAAAAAGATTCTAGAATCTGAAACTCATAGTGATCCTGTAGGAAAGCAAAAATTCCCTTCTAACTTCACTAAAAAGGGGGGGGGGGAATCTTTTGGGTTTGCCTCTGTTGGTTCAGGGGTTTTTTTATTCAATGTATCTGTGTCTCTTCATGAGCAATTCTATTTCAGTTTTTTGAGAGTGAATTGTCATGTCATATCTTACTGATTCAAACAACATATCTCAATGTAATTGCAATCATAATTTCTTCTTTCTATTTTATTGAAGCTGACCTCAAATTCTTTGGGAATTATTTTTGGATAATAGTGAAATTGTGCAAGTTACTGAAATAATCACAGAATTTCATTGAAACGTCCTTGCTGAAGCCAGAGAGTACACGGAAGCTGCTTCTGTAGCACCTTTGCTATGCCATGGTGGGGACGGAGCATTTTCCATCAGTTAATCAGTTCAGACTTGCCGGTATTCGTGTAGGCTGTAGAAAATGGACACTGGAACAAACTCCTCTCTCAGTGGTGTCCAGATTTTCTTGAAAAGGCAAGTACCTGATTGGAACCTGGATGGAACCTTGCATATATCTTGAACCTTGCACACAATCAGATACCAAGACCTAGAATTAAACACAGCAACCTAATGGATCTAGTGAGCTGTTTCAGAATTATGCTTTTGCTATGAAGCAACTTGTTCATCTTCCCAAAATAACTGTGCAGAGATAATGATTTGAGGATGCATAAAAGAAGAGACAGAACTGTTTCATTGAAGGTAATCTGGTCTTATTGACCTTGTGGCAGTGTTTCCCCTGGCTTTAGTGGATCTACACTTCTACTTACTGCATTTACTAGAGCTACAAAATGTGCAATAAGGTTTCAACAATTCTCACAATATAGTGGGGATCAGCTAAAGGTTTGTAATTATGCAGATTTTCTGAGTGAAAGCAAAATGTGCCAAGTGGGAAGAGTATGAACCGTATAGGCAAACTAGGCTAATTCAAGCTAATTTATTTCACGGCATTATCAGCAATACCATATAGAAAACAGGATCTAATACAGGCAACCTTTCTCTTCTTGTGTAGAATTAGAGCATGAAACAACACATGCAAGTTGCAAACACATTCTGCTTGTACCTTGGATCATCCTGAGAGAGGTGTTGTTTTGGAGGCATGGGAATTTTAAAGAAAACTCTATTCAGACATGACCAGTACAGTAAATGAATGAACCATTAATATTGTTGCAATCTATGCCTAACAAAATCATTTCCTGTAGCAACTGGAGTCACTAGAAGGTAATCAAATCACTCTTTCAGGTGGTAAATCTGTGGAAGTATCACCTCGACTGAGGTGCAGGGGATAACATGCCATAGTCACTTCTGGCTAACAAAGGTGGAAAAGCAGAGAGGCCACAATGTGTACTGAGAGACAGCCCCTATCAGGAGATGCTGACACACTTACTTTGAAAAAAAAAGTGAACAGCTGGTGGACTGGAATTATTGAGTGTCGATATAGCTGCAAACTCTGGCTTATAGTTTACATGTTGATGTCTTTTTTTTCTTCATAAATTTTAACTCTAAGGTTTTTCACTTCAGAAAATCTGGCTGATCATGAGTTAACCATGACACTGTCCCTGAGCAAAAGAAAAGATGTTTGACTCAGTGAATTCAGGCTCAGATAGACTATGAAGTACATTTCAAAGAAATTTTGGAGTTTGAAAGCAGATTGTTCTACAGACAATTCCTCACAGATTATTTGTTAGAAGTGAATTTACTGATATTTTTCCCATCTGTTGTTGCTTATCTCTCAGACAGGATGGTTGGTTGCAGAAGAAAGGTGGAAGGTAGGAATTTGAACTATTTTCTACAAGGAAAACTTTGCCAGATTATTTTCAACTGATTCTAGCAAACCCCAGGGACACTGACTTGGGTGAGACGACTCATGTGTGATTCAGTATGTTGTTCCAAGAATGTAGTGTCAATCCCCTGCTGGACACAGCCAAGTGGGTGAACAGTGAAGTCATTAAAAAGGGAAAGAGCCTTGGATAATAATAAAAAAAAGGCTCAGGTGAGTTCAAAAGAGTTGTATCCTTCGTTGGTGTAGATTTTCACACTATGGCACACAGAGGCTTCCTAGGATGAGCAGCTGAAGAATAAAGTCTTAGTGAAAAATGAAACCTTAGTGGCAACATCTATCGTACTATGTGAGCTGAGAATAGCAGTTTCTGAAACCATTAAAAAATAACTGCATGCCAGGACACTTTGGTAGAAGAAATGGTGTGATAAGACTGTGCCCCCCCCATGGCTTCCCCTCATCCTGCCCATAGTCCAGGGCTCTATGTCTGCCCCAGAGAACATCAGCCCCTGCCCGAGCAATGTTGTTTCATTGTGCAAGATATTCAAGAAATGTACCCATCCTGCCTTCAGCTAATAAACATACCTGTTTGAGTGTTTAACAAGCACACCAGGCAAAAAAATACTAGCTTATTAATTTCGCAACAATGGATACTGATATTTATGAAGTAGACAAATTATTGCTTTTTTTCATCTTTAATATGCATGTCCTGTCTTAAATTTAGATAAAATTACTGCATGTCATATAGTTCAACCTGCTACTCAAAGCAGGGTTAGATGAAAATTGGATCCATCTGTGCTGGACCTTGTCTAGCCGAGTTTTGAAAGTCTCTAAGATTGGAGATTTCACAATCATTTTGATGATCTTATTTCAGCGTTTAACTCTCTCATTGTAAGATTTCTTTTTTTAAAGTAATGCATTTTCAAAATGTAATGATTTCAAAAGGTAATGAAAAAGAAAACTGGAAAAAACGGGAAAAATTATTAATTAAAACAAGTACTTCAATTAAAACCAAACAAACACAAAAATAATAAACAAACCAAATGCTCAAATGAAATGTTCTGGATCATTCTAGCAGGTATTTTATTCAATTGCAAAAAAAATTTTATGTTTTTTTGCTATAAGAAAAAAAATATTTAGCCAAAATTAAAAACCAGTTATTCATGCAATCATCTAGACTATTTTGATGCTACTTATATATTACTCAAAGAAAAACTGTGTTGCCTTCTGTGTCCAAGAGTGTAAATGTTCTGGGTTGATTAAGAATTTTTTTTTTTTTGTTAATATTTTAACTTTGTACTTCAGACTTAAAGAATTGCTTAGTAGTCAGCAGAAGCAGGATCATTTTGTCATATTCACTTTACAGTTGTAAGAAACAGTATTAGTAAATCAGAGAATTGGAAGACTTGGAAATAAGTGTCAAGAAAACTGCAGACGATGTTCAATAAGGGAAGGACTGCACATATGTTGAAAGACTAACAGAATGCAAAATGATCTTGACAAACTGGAAAAAATAGTCTTAAAAGACTGTGATATTTAACAAAGTAAAATGGAAGAATCACTCCAACAATCTACTTCAGTAGTACAGAATGGAGAATTGAAAAGCTATCAGAAGTGAAATATTTCGGGATTATAATGGCCAATGAAAAGAATTTTAACACAGTGGTATTGTGCTCCAGAGCTAGAGGTGAAAAGCCTGTAGCATATGAAGAGGGTCATAGTCTACATAACATAAAATCTTCCCTCCTCTTAAAACTCAGTTGAAGTGGTGTGCAAGTTTGAAGCTCTGCTCTTCATGAAAGATGTGGAGTAGTTGCTGAGTGGAAAAAAGAGAATTCTGAGACAAGACATGGATCTCTTCAGAAAGGGTACTGATGAGAGGAAGTGAGCAAGCTTTTTTCCTCCTTGGAACTTAGTCTTAGAACACACTTTAATTACAATACCTTCTAGGTTAGGCCTAGCAAAAAAATATTACCTAAAATCTTACCTTCCTGGAAAGTGATGCTATTACGGCAAGTCTTACCAGATGACTTATTAGAATCTGTAATATCTCTTCATCATTATAAACGGCATTTTGTTATTTTAATTTCTGAAATAAAATCTGTTTTCAGAGTCTGCTAATTTGTGTCAAGATACCATTTCACTCTTAAGTGGCTGTGAGTACTTTGATTACTCTATTTTTATTAACAATATGCTATGTGAGACTGTAAGTTAACATATACTGTCTACTCTATACAAAACAATATAATTTTTCGAACTTTGTGATAAAAAAGGATGAAAATATCCCTTTAAAACTCCCAGTTTGAAATGTTACTTGTTTTCAGCTTCAAGATGCAGACTTACAATACTTCCACTCTTTTTGAAATTCAGAATACATTGTAATGTGTTTATATTTGATTACATACATGCATATGTGTGGATGTAGAGTTCAGAGAAGTATGTAAGCCACAAGTAACTTCTGAAAACCATAACTATTTCTAATGCTGACCACAACAATGACTAGCTTAAACCTGTGTGCCTAAGAAAGGTATTGACACATCTACCTACTGTACACATATTTTGGAAGATCTAGCAAATATTGATGCAGTGAAAAATGAGGTATAAATGACAGTGGGAACTGCAAGAAAGGATCAGCTACCTTCTAGAGATTTCTGAAGGTTTGTCATAAGAAGAGTCTTGCAATCTATCCTTGAAGGCTGCCTCTCTTTCACTGGAGCTGTTGTGTGCCATATCTAAACAGTGAGTCAGTGGCATGAGTTTAGTGGAATACTCCTCTTGGATATTATTACTAAAATCATATAGCTTCTTTACTGGGGCATGAGTCATCACACTCACAGACTGTGGCATTATACAAAGTTCTCATTGCTTATTCTTTAACCCCATTGAGTGAAGTTGTGACCCGATTGTAATGTTTTGTTAGAGGACCATACTATACTGTAAGGATTCCGAAGCAAAAAATAGAAGAAGACACGACGTAACCTCCCTGTGTAAATTAGTAAAAAAGTTTCTGAAGTGCATCTGCCTCCTAAAACAAAAGTATAATATTCATTGCCAATATGACATCAGCAGTGTTGGAAACATATGCTTCCAAACAATAGAAAAGGGAAAAAGAAAACAATTCTTTCCATCCCTACCCGATCTCATAGGAAGACTGAAAATCAACACCGTCACTGAGAGTATGCAGGGTTGCTAACAAGTCCGCCAAGAAACTACTCAGTCAACAGTATAAGAACACTTCCCTCTTACTAGTGACATTTACAACAAATCCATGAATTCAGAGGAAAACAGTTATGCGAAAATTATTTTCCATAGCATCCCAAAAAACACCTAGTCCACAGAAGGCAGGAAGTAGAGTTGTAGCTGACAGACCTCTTAACTGCTAAGTGATCAATTTTAAATCATCTTCTCACTCAAGGGAAAGCATTATTAAACTGTTGCAATAACAAAACCTATGTGGCCCGTATTAATTGACATCTCAAATTAATTGAATTAAACCCACCCAGAGCATATAAAACTGACTTATTCTGTACAGAAACTTATTGTTATGAAAGACATTGCAGTTACATCAGCAACCTTTAGTTTTGACCTTATGTACACTGGATATATCCAAAATAAGTAGTAATAGTTGCTATAGAAATTATAAAATAGAGTAGATTAGGTAAATAGGATACATATCTTGTACTCCCTATATAAGAGACAATAGATACAGCTCTTCTTCCCTGTTCTTAGCTGTAATCTGTTAGTGAGGATACCATGAGTGTGAAATATGATCAGTTAAAAAACCTTAGATAAAAGTAGCTAGAGCCTGATCGACATAAATTTCTTTTCCTGGAGAAGAGAGAAAACTTACTAATTTATAGAAAGTGAAAAAGACAATACCAAAAGTGCTATCAAATGTAACAAGAAAATGAACTGGAAATAGACAAGAGATTGTTTTTTCCATAATCTTTTTCCACTTATAGTCATTTCACAGATTTTTTGGAGGTTCTTTGTTTTGGGGTTTTTTTAGTAGCAGCAGGAGATAATGTCACTGGTGCTCAACTGTTCACCCATGAATAAAAACATGTTGCTTTTGATAAAAATATTACATGCTGCACCTGGAAGAACTTGCTGACAAATGAGGTTGTCATCCCCCTCCTTCTCCACCCTTGTTTCCTTCACATGAAACTGGGTGATTCCTGGATAGCACTCTACAGTCCATCAGTTAAAGCTCTCCTTTACTTCCCCACTCTCTGGGTGGGATTATATACCCTCCAATGCCCTCTGTAACAATATGGGAGTTGGGCTCACTAATTATTTATATTTGTGGGACTCCTACACTGCTTAAATGGTTTGTTTACTGGAATTTTATATTGCAGCTTACAAAGAAAATCATTCTTGCTCTGGTTTTGCGGAAGAATTAGCGTTTAACGTCAGTGGCCTAAACTCACTTGTGAACAGTGAATCATTGCTCTTATTACAGGAATAGACTTATTTTAATGTGATCATAACAATTTCCAGTTTATTAATTACTCATTCACTTCAAAATGTAATGGTAATATACAATTTGTTTTAGATAAGAAAGAAAAGTCTTTGAGGAAATGCAATGATGTAAAATCAATCTCAAGTCTATTTTCCCTCTAAGCTACATCAGGGCAATCAACTGAAACTATTTCATCAGGGACCTACTTTCAATAAAGAGTATCAATAAAGAATGTTTATAGACACTTTATATACCCATAAAAATTGCAATATGAATATAGGCAGCAATACTGTTGAATCTTACACCTATCGGGAGACTACACAGTAACTTTTGGGATAAAAGTGCTAGCTTGCAAATGATAAAGCATCTCAAAAACAGATATTTTGGCTAAGATACTCCATAAACATATTCACACCTTGTTTCTTTTCATCAAGTGCCAAGTGAGGTGCAGAACTCGACACAGAGATGCTGCACACTTGGTATAGCCAAGTATAAACAGTTCTAAGGATAAAACAGATCCACCAGTCAGATGTCTGTCTGCCAGCAGTGCCCTGGCTGCTCCTGGGGCATCCAGCCCAGTGACTGGGTCCTTTGGGACTGCAGGCCACTATGGGTCTACACTGATTCCTGCTTTCACAGCTGTGCCACGGCCCAGTGTTTGGATGACATCAGAATACCTGTTTTACCTCCAAGGAATCCACAAATGAAGTCTGACCCTGATGAAATCAAAGGGATATTTTGCCTTTAACATCACTGAGCTCATTATTTGATTTTTTTTTCACTCAGATTTATACCCATACTTAAGCACAAGCCCTAGCTGAGTTTTTCAGCTCATTTATTGTGAAATACATTCTCATAGAGGTCTAAGCACAATATCAACCATAAAGCATGCTGTTTCTGTACCTTTTTATACAACCATACGTTATATGGGATTTGCTGCTGCTATCTGTCATTTGGGTCAAAACGTTTTTTTTTTTACTTTCATTTTTATGAGACTCAGAAGTGTCTGTTTTGTTTATTGTAATAACCACAGCACCCTTGGTGAATAGCAAAGAAATGAAGAATATTTGTAACCAAAATTTTGTCTTCATTCTAAAGTTCATTTTATCCCCTCTCTTATCTACTCTATTCTCCATATTATCTTTTATTCAATCAAACTTTATTTAACCTGCTGTTGTGAGCAAGTGCTAAGTTTTACATTTGGCAAGCGTTAGGACTTTGGAAGACGAGCACAGCTGGAGTGGATATAATGAAACAGCATTCTTCCGTACCAAAGTGATCTTGATGCATATAGAAAAAAAAAAAAAAAGACACAACAATATGGTGTATATTTATACCACTTTAATGAGGCTCTATTCAAAATCCAGCTGTGAAAACGTGATTAATCTATATACTAGGGCTTCCAGTACTAGAAAGAAAATCCTTCACAGTAAAGACTGACTTCCACACGTTACAGATTGTATCTTGTCACTTAATCATTTCATGGAGACCGTTCACATGCGTGTAAGCACACTTTGGAGTTTGAATATGTTACATGGAAAGCATAGCAGTTACTAGTAAGCAACACTTTATCAGTAGGAAGCTGAGCATCCACATAATTCTCGTTCTTGAAATTATCTATTTATTTGTTTATTTTTCATTCATCTTCATTTTCCTACCTTTATTCCTTTTTTTTTCATTATTTTTTTTCTCAACAGAAAACCTTTAAAGCTAATACTGAATTACTTCTGTAGGTGGTGCCAGAGATGTTTTGATGGTTTTGCTTGCTTAGATTTAACTGTGTCTTTATGTGCAAAATTTGGCTTGATACCATACATTATGTTTTTGAATGTCTCCTTGCAATCTCTGTTTTTCTATCAGAGGATAAAAGCAACTGTTATGCAATCTGGAAACCAGTGGATTGTCATTCACATCCTGTGCACTTTACTGGTATAGTGAATTTACCAGTAAATTCTGGTAAATTTTTTATACTTTACTGGTATAGTGAGGACCCTTCTAAATCTTTAAGCAACAGCATGCAATGTCTTAAATAAGCTTCTAACATCTAGGTCATCCAAATTTTGGTTTTGTATCAAAGGTAGAGACTTCATTATGAATACCACAATGTTACTCATTTTATAGATTGTTTTGTTTTGGTTTGTTTGTTTGGTGTTTGTTTTCAGTTTTGTGGTTTTGCCTTTCCTCAGATTCGCATAACAAGAGACTGAAGTGTCAGGGTACAATGCCTAGAGGACAAGAACAGATATGGACTGTACAATCTGTAGAGTGTATTATTATTTATTCTAGCAGATTTGTCTGGTACTCCAGACACTGAGCTAGAAGAGGAACAAAGGATAAGGTAGTGCCATCACATTATTGGTGGGCAACAGGAGCCATAGGAAGCTGAAAGGAGCCACAAGAATCTACGAAGGGGGAGAAACCAATGTCCCATGTATTAAAAATGACGCATCTAATGGAGCTGTCCACCTCATAATACAAACCTGCACTGAAGTGAGAGGCCTGAGCTTCTTAAGCATAGAGGACTTAGTTGTGCTTTTCATGATCCAGTAACATTATTTTCTAAGTAGTTTCACAGCTTCTAGAGCAGGTGTGGATTGTACCTCCTTTTTTCACTCATATCCCCATGGAATAGTCTATTACTTGATGACTAAGGTCTTCTGTGAAAGAAGAGATGTTGATGTGCCCTCATTG